AAGGTGCTGTAAACGCTTGACTTTTTGTACGAGAAAACTTTTAAAATTCGCGCCATGGCCGGTTGAAAAGTTTTCCCGACGCCACCGCACACCGTCACAAAATGCTCACGCGGTGCTCCTGAACCCTTGTGGCCATCCGGTCAATGATCCACCAGCAAGGAAATCTTGGGGTGGTTATAAAAGTTTGCATGGATACCATCCAGCAAGGTCATCCCCTATAACTGTATGAAACATTGTTATTTTTATTATACTAAGGGTTACTACCTGTTGTATTCACGAGAGGTCCTTTGCACGATATTGTTATAAGAGTGATTTTGTAAGGCTTATCGATCGGTCAGTTAACGTGACGATACGCCCCGAGAGTCATACGTGTTTGACTGTGCTCAGGAGAGTGGGGGGAGTGGGTCTTCGTCGTGGATGACGGGGGTCGGTTGAAGGCTGAAAAGGGAGGGTCCGTAGGGCAGTCGTAAGGGTGGTAAGGGACGGCTTTAATTAAGGCAAGTGGAGGAAAGAAAAATCCTGAGGGAATTTATAGAGGTCTACGTGGCTGAGTGGCGGGGGTTGTAAAGGATCGTAAGGGTAGACGAAGCTACCGTTCGTCGTCGGGGGTGACGAGGGGCAAAGGCGCCCCTAAACTCTAAGGGCTGTGCCCGCGGTAATTTTGGACCTTCGAAACGACTCTGCGGTACATAAAGGCCTAAATGTAAAGTAGACTTTACTGCGTTAATTCCCATGCGAAATTAAATAAAGAATCGCTCGCCTCGTTTCCCTCGACTGCATTCCGAACTTGCTACCCAGACTACGGCTGCACTCAGGATCACCCGTTTAAGTGGACCAATGAAAATTCACCATAATTCCCGAAAATCTTTGTACCGTTAATAAAAAAAAAAAGATTTCCTTACTAAATTACTCCTATCAGCACCGATAGGTAATTTACGTAGTGCATCTGTCTAGATACTGGTATTCTGGTAACAGCAATTTAGTTCGCTTTTAATCAAGCTTTAATCACCTCGTCAGCGCGCTGCTTTTAATCCGTGGCTATCTTCTAGCTTGCTCACCGGAAGCCACGCTTAAACTCATCGTTATTTCGATCACTAACAGAGCTTATAGAACTTAAAAAAATCTTCCCATCCGTAATATACCATGCAGGTAGGTAAGTTGGGTTTTAAATCAATAAATTGACAATTTATCATTGATACATGGTTATCTATAATTATATATATCCACGTGATGATAAACAAGTCAATTATATATATACATATAATTTATAGGATAGAAACAGGGAAAAACTGAATCGACTGGACGTTTCGATATCAGTAAACAAAACAAAAATGACGAGCGAACGGTAGGCGGAATGGCGGCGACTTTTAATCAATCCGATTATTGTCAGGAGGATTGGACTTGGCACCGTTCCTTCAGCGGACCTCTCTGTATACGGCTATTACCACTTTAGCATCGACCGAGCCATTTTATCCCCCGTCTACCTCGAGCTTCACCCCCATGTGCCCCTTTTCTATACGGGATATTCGTATGCGCTCGTGGGCACACCTCTCTGATCGCCCTTAATTGGCTGATTCCCGCGGTCACTTATTCCTTCTTCTTCTTTTTTTCAAGCCTCGATCGCTTTACACCGCACGCATTGCACAGGTATTCTGTAGTTTATCTCGTATCCCAAGCTGAAACAATGTATTCGGTCAACATCTTAAGTCGACTACAGACGCAATTAGAACTTATTTATAGAACTGATAAACGATTCAACTTTTTTATCAAAATTTTTTTTATTAATTGAACTGACTTTATTTTATCTCTATTTATGAAATCGCATTCGAATAGTTTTTAATTTTTACCTTTCTTAAGATATTATCAGTTCATTTCTTATACCACGAGAATATGTTATTTTAATAAATTTTAATTAAAACTTCATAATATATTTTTACTGGTCACCCTCGTACACATTCCTCAAATCGATTTAATTGCGTTAAGTCATTAGGTAAGACAGGTCTATATAGAATAGGGTGATATTAATCTCGGGGAAGAGAATTTGATTTTAATTATATCGATTGACCTCACAGGTCAAAGGTACATCACTGTAATCGGCAATCGGCATTTCAGGTACTTCATGTGGAACGATGTGTTCTGTAGTATATGTATTGAGAGAGAGAGAGAGAGAGAGAGAGAGAGAGATAGAGAGAGATAGAGAGACATTACCACCACTGATATCATTGAGTACACACAGACTCACACACAGTGACAAAGAAGTGGACAGTCTGGCCCTGACACTCAGAAGCACCATCAGTTATAGAGATTGCCGACTGTGGTGCCAAGAGGGGTAGTGGGGGTGGTTTTTTAAATCTAGCCATCAAGGATCCATCCTGGCCTGGCTGAATGCCCGCGTTTCTCCATACACAGGAAACGCACACAGGCTAATATACAGAACGAGGCATACACACATCTGGACCACACAACCCTTATAAAATCCAGAGACTTTGCCTGCATCCACCCAATGATCTCTTCTCGAGCGTTTCTCTGTGTTGTTGTCCTACCGTCTATTATCCTCGGCCGAATTCAATTACGCCAAAGCCGCGACATACTTTTGCGACACCCTGTACACGTATGACTGTATGTGGATCTGGATGAACCGTATGAACTTATCTGACTGCTCCTCCCTCATGAGAGGAATATGAGGGCGTGCGAATACTCGAATTTACCAGGATGCGTGTACGCAACCCTCTTGATCCTTCCTAGGGATATCTAGGTATTGTAACGTACATGGATATGTATACAGAGATGTTACATATGTGACTATATATTATTTACTATGTCTTGGATTTAGCTTGCTCATGCGTAAAATACCATGTACTTGGGTGTGTATGTAATTACCCTTATCTAGTCACGGCTTTTATCGTTCAACTTCCTTTTGTAGATCGTCTGTGATTACTGGCGCGTAACGATGATTTGAGTAAACATCAAATCTGACTGATTTCTATTGGACCTACCAGCGCTATGATACAATCCAATCCTAGGATCTGTATGAAATTGATTGTAAGTGTTCTGAATGAGTTTCATGATAATTTAATGAATTTTTCGTGGTATCGTTGTTTTCGTAAATCTTATCGTTTATTCGAAATACGCAAAAATTATTTTCATTTTGTTATCGAAGAGGAAGACGTAATTATTTTTGTGATCTTTATCACCTGCAATGCTCTTTCTATTGACAACTATGGGTAGTTACTCGGTGTCTATCGAACACGTAATGAGGTTTACATTTTTTGGAAAATTAATTTGATTCATTTTGGAAGAATTTAGTATTGATCATTTTTGTGCGGTTTTTGAACATTTTTTGGAGCTTCTATGGCACAATGCAATTATGATGTCAATGACGGATTGCTATTATGTAATAATGAAATTAATTTTTTTTAGCTGCTAACTCTGGGGGTTGTGAGCTAAGTACAAAGAAATTTAAAGATTGCAAAAAGGAGAATTGAAAAATTCAGTAACTATTAAGAAGACGCGATGATTTTTGGAATCATTTTTCAAAATGTCCTCTACTACGGGGGTGGTTCGGGTGCGATGGGGTGGTCATCCCAAAGCGTAGGGTGGCAAGATGGCGGCGCACGGTAAATCGATGGAGGCTAGTCACTGCAGGCGCCCTCGCTTCCCAACACCCCCCAAACTCACCCTCAACCAACCCACTGAGCAACCCCCTCATTTTCGAGGTTCACGCAAGCGCCTCTACCCTTAACCCTCTCGCCCTTCATCCAAAACATAGTCTTAGCTACATAATTTTGCACCCGGCCGATAACCGATTTTCGTTCACACCAGGATATAAGATTCCACGCGAAAATTCGAAAGTAATGTTTAATTGTACTTTTTATTTTTTTCACACATTTTTTTCTGCCAAAATAAAAATGACAAAAACTTCCGCGACGAGTCGCCGAAGAATTGTCGAATCGACGTGGAAACGTGAAAGCACCCGCAACAAGTGCGATGGGAGCGATTATTTTATTTGTGACGTGACCTACGACCTTGCGTAATAAATTTGACAAAAAAATTACCACCTTGACTTATCAATAAGTTCTAGTTATATGGCAATCGCTATCAGTTATATATAAAAACTAGTTAATTTTATATAAAAATATACACGGATCTCACTTGATTTTGAAAAAATTTTCCAAAAACTCCACGAGAAACTTACATCGCGTGAGATAAATCCTGACTAAGAATATCTCGACGGTTAAGAATAGACAAACTAGTTTGTGAGAATAACTCGTGTTTCATTTAGCAGGGTGAAAACTTGCCAAGATTATTTATTCACACAGCATCCAGAATCCAGCAGCAAGTCGACCAGCCCATCGTAACCCGATCTAACCAGCTTGTCATCCCCTTAAACAGAACGACCCCCTGAAGTCACTTTCCTCGTCAGCAATAACTCACCTTACGGTATAGTATTTTAAAAACGTAACATAGCATCGCAGTAACTGTAAAGATTTCTTTAAAAAGTTCATTATTGATCAGCAAACAAAAATTGCAAACAAAAATTGCAAACAACCATAATTTGTCATCAGATCGCCGATAGATAAATTCAAATTGATCAATACTTATTATACGATACGATCGATCGATATAACAGAGCGTCGGCATGATCAGAAGTAACAGTATCGATCATTATCAATCGAATGAAATTATCGATTCGTTTACGAATACGAAAATACTGATTACCGCTTAATACCAATAACACGTACAATAATTTTATCTGCTGAGCGAACTACATGTTCGATAGCAATATTTTGATAAGTAAACAGATAGCATTTATAATGCCAAGATAACAAGAAGTGTATCAAGAAAAAGGGAGAAGCTAAAAGAAAAAAAAAGAGAAAATAAAAGCAGAAAAACATAATCGAAGTTATATATGTATATCGCAGTGGAGCGATCTAGAAAAGTGATTTTCGATTCATTCAAATTAACTATCGATCAACTCTTATCAGTCAACAGTACAAATTCGCCTTCTTTGCGATAACCCGATAATATTTGCGATCCTCCGATAATTAATCACTTTATAAGGGAACCCATGGATCTTTCTCAGCAGTTCTCTAACCGAGTATGAAGATTCTCGTATTGGCTGGTTACTTCCTTGTCTGCGTGGCCCTGGGTAAACCATAAGAAACATTGGAATACATTATAAGAATAATAAAAAATCATCGTTTACACGAAAACGTTGTACTTGATCGTTTGAATAATTTATTACTTACAGCCAACGCCGAGTTGCAGGAATGGGTAGAAATGATTGAAGATAATTTAGATGAAATAGAAGAACACGAATTCACTGTCTATTCCGAACCTATTCCTGACTTCATAGTGGACGATGAAGGCAACCCAATACATATCAACCCAGATGATGAAGATTACGAAGAGGACGAATCCGTCGAAGAAACAGCCAGCAAAATTTCCCAGCGAGTTTCCTTCCACGTCTTCAATCCAAGCCACCCGAACACTTACACAGACATTTACGTCAACGACACCAAGTCTTTGAGAGACAGTGATTTCGACCTTACAAAACCAATCAGGATCATCACTCACGGATGGGTCAATTCCAAGAACAGCGATGCTTGCACCATGGTCAAAGATGGTAAATTAATAATTATGAATTTCATGAAATTTCGCACTCATCATATATACCGTCTTACATTCAATTTACCCCATTTAATACAATGCTACCCTTATTACTTAAAGCCTATCTCGCAAACGGTGAATACAACGTGATCGTCGTCGACTGGAGCAAAATCTCCAAAAACCCCTACCTCTACGCCAGTAACCGCGTCAAGACTGTAGGAACTTACTTAGGCGAGCTGCTTGACTTCTTGGCGAGACAGGGTGCCAAGTTGTCCGAAGCTGTTCTTGTAGGACACTCCCTGGGTGCTCATATAGTTGGATTGGCTGGATATTATTCTAGCAATCAGATTGGACACATCGTTGGTAAGAGTCAATATATAAATTATACATTATTGTTCCATATACTTCCACGGAGTCTCGTGAGATATTAGTTAATTTAAATTATTATTATTATTTTTGTTGTTCTTATTGTAATTATTCTCAGGTCTGGATCCGGCTCTTCCTCTCTTTTATACCTCAAGGGCTGGCTCTCGTATCGCAAAGGGTGACGCGAAACACGTACAAATCATCCACACGAATGCTGGTGTTCTTGGTTACTACTCTGCCATTGGTGATTCCGACTTTTATCCAAATGGTGGTGGCAGTCAGCGTGGTTGCTACGTTGATATCGCTGGTTCATGCTCGCATTCTCGTGCCTACAAATATTACGCTGAGTCGATTGGGGCGACCAAAGGTTTCGTAGGGCTCAAATGCAAAACTCACTGGCGCTACCAGTGGGGCTTCTGCAATGGGAATTCAAAGGGTCTTATGGGAGGTGCTACACCGTCTACAGATGTCAAGGGAGTGTACTACTTGAAGACTTCGAAATCAAGACCTTACGCCAAGGGTTAAAATCTTGTAATTTTTAACCTGATTTTTTTTAACACGTCATTTGGAATGCCTCTGGAAATTTATAGAATCGTCTAATCCGATATGCCAAGAGATTATTACGTAATAGTCCGCTATTGTATGCAAACTCAAATGTTGTCTCTTTACGGAGATTAAGTATTTCTGGTAGCCATTTGCTACCCTCATATCCGCCATATCCGAATAAAATTAATTCTGAAAATTAAGTTCTTTATTAAATCAATTATGCAATTTAATTATCACTTTCTTGGTATTTATTTTATCTGTTTAACAGTGTGCATATTGTTTCGTACCGTGAATGTATTGTTTATTGCAACGGGTGTTGTTGCACTTGAATAATTAGTCAATCTATGAAGCTGGGCGGTTCGGGTAATAATACTTGATAAGTGTTGCGCGAAGGATAAAAAATGCAGACATTAATAGGAGATAAATTCTGATAAGAAAATTAAAAAAAAAAGCAAAACTGAACAAAGGCTATTGCGAAAAAGTGGGATTACTAATTTCTACATAAATCTAATAGAGGTATAAGATTCATCGATAATTGATCCGTAATTAATTATTTGTTGTATCGAGGTTTGCAAAAAAAAAACGTTTTATCAGACGTTAGAGACCAGTAGAGAAAATATATGAAATTGACAAAAATTCGAAATCAATCCGTTATTTATTGAATTTGTATGACTAACATTATCAAATATTCGTTTTTGGTGATAATTCCGACATTTGTTCATCTTTAAAATTAACTCTTAGTTATTTTAATCTGATATAACGTCATATTTTAAAACTTAATTATCTGTACACATTTCACTGGCAACTGTATAAACAGAGTCCCAAACTGGAATACACCTGAACATTACATAGGATGGTCCCAAACAGGAATGCACCTGTAAGGTCCAATATAAATCTGGTCCCAGACTGAAGTTAAATTGAAAAGTTGGAATAATTAAATGGTCTTAACAATAAAATGTATTAGATCTAAGTAACATGAGAATGAGATAAAGGCATTTCAGTATTGAATGGATATCATTGAATTTTAATTTATAAAAAAATTCCTTCTATCCAAGATCGATCTCATACAAATTAAAGATCGATTATTGTAATATAACATATGATGTAATATAACATTGATCATAGGATCAATAAATTTTGATCGATCTCAATTAATTTTTCGTGATATTCGAATATGAATTTAATTATATACTTTACAAGCAGCTAATCATATGAACCGCTTAATGAATGAATTACTTTCAGATAATTTCTCTACCGTAAGCGCTCGATCAAATATGTGTCTTAAAGGAGGAGTTCGTATAATAATCGGTCGCAGACATTAATAATCTATAGAATAACATTTGGCAAGCAGCATATAAAATGAGAAATTCAATTTTGTTTTATCGCAAACAGTCGTGGAAAAATGAAGGATTCGATTGCACTGCACGTCTTCTTCTTCGTAGTAGCCGGTAAAGAAAGTTAATTAAAAAGATTGTTAATTTAACCAAACAAACGGTAAATCCAAACAAAAATTATACAACTGTAGTAGTTTTTAAAAAATTACAGTTCGCGGTTCCTCTAACATTTTCGAAGAGGATGTCCCAAAAAACGACATTCTGAAACCAACACTGGTCGTTAAGAATAACAATGGGAACTTGATAAAGGTGGACCAGAGTATTAGGAATACCGAAGACATTGAAGCAAGACGCAAGGACCTCGTTAACCAAGTTATGTTTTACCTGCATACAGTAAAAAATCCTAGACTTTCTGAAGCTCAACAACTATGGGTTGGTGACGTCAAGACTTTACGCCAAAGTTATTTCGATCCATCGATACCTACCAGATTTGTCACCCACGGATGGATGAATTCTCCCTACAGCAAGTCCTGCGTTCTCGTTCGTGAAGGTAGGATACCATAATGACAATTAAAAGAAAATAATAATTAAAAAATCCTGTATCGAATATTCAATCTAGCCTACCTTAAACACGGCAAATACAACGTGATTGTCGTGGACTGGAGTAAGATCTCGATTAATCTATACAGTATCGCCGGGAGGGGAGTTAAGAAAGTCGCAAAATACGTAGGACAGATGATCGATTTCCTTGCAACCCAAGGAGTCGATACCACTACGACTTATGTCATAGGACATTCGATGGGAGGACACGTTGCTGGCATAGCGTCCCGCCTGGCTGAAAGCACCGTGGGCTACGTAATAGGTAAGTTTAAAAAATTGACAAAAATTAATTTCCTTATACAAATTACAAATAATCAAAAGAATAAATCAAACGTATCCAATAATTAAAGCATTGGATCCTGCGATGCCACAGTTCTCGTCGGCTGGACCTGGTGAACGCGTCGCCCAGGGTGATGCTAAGTTCGTTCAAGTGATTCATACGGATGCTGGTGGATTCGGCTACACAAAACCCATTGGCGATGTCGATTTTTATCCAAATGGTGGAAACCGCCAACCTGGCTGTAAAAGTATCTTCCAAAGTCTCTGCTCTCACTTGAGAGTTTCTGAGTACTTCGCGGAGTCCATCAGCAGTGACATAGGATTTGTGGGAACCAAATGTGAAAACTACTCAGAATACAAGAATGGCAGTTGTCAATATAATGACAGAGCTGTAATGGGGGGTGCGGTGCCGACCACAAGAGCAACTGGCTCTTACTATTTGGATACGAATTCGGTGCCACCTTATGCAAAAGGAAGCTAGCGATATTGACCATTTTACAACGAATGATTATAAATACATGTACGACTAATTCAATAATGTTGCATACGCAGTGCTATTTGTTATCGCAAATACATTTCCGTATTTATTTTCATTGTAAGCATTTTTGTGTGAGAATATATGAAATATATATGGTAAACCAAAATGGCTTAAATACTGGTTTTCATTGAATTTCCTTCAGTCGGAGGGCCTTGTTTGGGGTTTCTATTTTGGGACTTGCCACGTGTCTATTTTGGGGGTTCAGGTGGATTCCGGTATGGGACCCTTGTTAAATTGCTGTACCATGGCTCACAGGTGAATTCTGGTTTAAAGTTCAGCTCATACGGCAATCGCCCATGGACACCAATTGATGGACTGTAGGATAGGATAAGTCAGAATCAGTCTTCACGTCCGTCAGTCAATGCTATTTACGACGAGATATAAAGCTATCCTTGTTTATATATAATTTATATAGCTTTTCTCGAATGGAAATATATTTTTGTATTAATAATCTATTTTATTTTTTGCCGCGTTATCATCTGATAATAACATTCTGTCCGTTCGATAAAATCTTTATTGCGTAGTACTTTTGATATAAAGAACAACGGAACAGAATGATATATAAGATACGCATGTTAAGCAATTAATTCGGATGTGTGATTCTTTACGTGGGCAAAGAGCACATGTGCATACCGATCAGAAAGTCTATGGGTGAATGGAACGGGCTGTCGTCGTCGCGCTATAATAGTAATAAGTAATAAAGTAAACGAAATTTTTTGTTTTTCGAATATTTTCAAAGTTCAAATATTTAGAAACTTGTATAATTGAATCTTTTTCTAATCAAAATATTCAAGATTCTATAACTGACTATTGTGCTGAGTGTCGATATCCGAATTCGAACACGTCGCATTTATATCTACACAAAGGTATCGTTTTCGTTCACTCTGCATTTGGATATCTCTCACAGCTGTTAAAATGCGTATGTTAACGAAAAGGTGCCCTCAAATTTAAAAAACAAAAACATCGCAAAACGTTTTCAATTCTTCATTGTGTTTGTACAGCTTTTTAAATATGTTAATTTTGTATATAATTTCGGTTAAAAGATGAATGTAAGATAATCTATAATATTTGAGGAGGCCAAAAGAGCGATAAAGACTTTCGGGTATTTACTAAGCTATTAAAAGTTAAACCTCCTCCACCTTTCCTATTAATCGATAAATTGCAGGCAATTGCTCGCACTTCAGCAGATGCGTTCTATGGTGAAGGGTTTACTGCTTGAAATTAAGTAAGTATTTCTCAATTTTATCACATTAACAACTTTTATGAAAATTTGAAACACGTTTTTTTTTTCAAAATAGCATTTTTCGAAGTGGTGAACTTAATACAGAAAATCAATGAGTATTTCAAAGAATATCTCTTCTGCGGAGCATTAATGTCGGACTGCATACTATGACAGTAAATTCGAATAAAATATAATAAAAATAAGTACCGTCGTGCTATACAGTAACCAACGTCAATAATTTATAAATTAACATTTCGTGAGTGCTATTATACATAAAAACAGCTATTAAAATTTTTCGGTTACTAATCGTTGTGGAACAATGGGCCTTGTTTAGGGTTTCTGTTTCGGGGCTTGTCACGTGATTATTTCGGGGGTTCAGGTGGATTCCGGTATGGGACTCTCGTTAAATGACTGTACAAGATTCACCCGTGATTTCTGGTTTAAAATTCAGCCCATACGATAATCGCCCATGGAAAGAAACTCATGGACTGTAGGATAGGATAAATCAGAATCAGTCCTCACGTCGATCAGTCAATGCAACGTACAACGAGATACGAAATTATCCTTTTTTATATATAATCTATATCACTTTTCTCAAATGGAAATATATTTTTTATTAATAATCGATTTCACTTTTTTTCACTTTATCACGTGATAAAATTATTAGGTCCGTGAGATAATGATATTTTGATATAAGGGAACAAAAAATCGGAACAAGACATAGAATACTGTACTGAATAACAGTAATTACTATAAATGCGCTGATACCTTCTAGGTCGGAGCACAAATATCCAAACCGAAAAGTGGTCTATCATCGTGAACAATGAAGAATTCGATTGCGCTACTTCTCCTCCTGGCAGTGACTAGTAAATAAATTTAAATACAAAAAATAATTAATTTTGTCAAATTTCAAAAACTTCTATATTTTTAAAAATTACAGTTCGCGGCTTCCCTAATACTTCCGATAAGAATGACGTAGAAGATGACACATCAACACAACAACTGGCCGTTGAGGACGATGATGGGAACCTGGTACCGTTGGACCTGGATGCTAAGGATACAAATGACACCGAGTTGTCATCTGAGAGCCTCAATGACAGTGTCTTATTCTATCTGTACACAGTGAAAAATCCTAATGATTTTCAACAATTATGGATTAATGATTCCAAGACTCTTTCCGAGAGTAATTTCGATCCATCGAAACCTACCAGAATTGTGACCCACGGATGGAAGAATTCGTATAAGGGCGAGTCCTGCGTTCTCATTCGCGAAGGTAGGATACCATAATTATATTAATTCAAAAAAAAAATATCAAAAATTATATCGATATCCAATTTCTAGCCTACCTTAAGCATCGTCAGTACAACGTGATCGTCGTGGATTGGAGTAAGATCTCGGTTAATCTGTACACTGTCGCCATGAGCGGAGTCAAGAAAGTCGCAGCACAGGTAGGACAGATGATCGATTTCCTGGCAACGCAAGGCGTCGATACCACTACGACGATTGTCATAGGACATTCGTTAGGCGCACATGTTGCCGGGATAGCAGCACGCCAGGCTAAAAGCACAGTGGACTACGTAGTAGGTGAGTGAAAAAAGAATAAATGAGTTTCCTTATCCAAATATTGAAAAATAAGATAATTAATAAAACGTATCCAATAACTTCAGCATTGGATCCTGCGCTGCCTCTTTTCGCCTTTGCTGAACCTGGCGATCGTGTCGCTAAGGGCGATGCCAATTTCGTTCAAGTGATTCATACCAATCTTGGTAGACTTGGGTTCGATCGCGCGATTGGTGATGTTGATTTTTTTCCAAATGGTGGAGGCATCCAACCAGGCTGTGGTGTCAACTGGTCCTGCTCCCATGGCAGGTCTTATAAGTACTTCGCAGAATCCATCAACAGCAACATAGGATTCGTGGGAATCGAATGTGAAAATTTCATACTGTACAAATTGGACAAATGTCGCGATAACAACAAAGAAATAATGGGAGGACCAAATCCGACCACGAAAGCGACCAAAAAATATTATCTTGATACGAACGAATCCTCTCCTTATGCCAAGGGATGATAAACTACTTGAGTATGACGAACTAATATTTTAATGCAAAGAATAGAAATTCTTCTATACTATTTCTATGAAGTTCCAGAATGATTTTTATTTGTTACTGCAAATACAATTTTCTATCGATTATTCTTATTTATTATTTCTGTGTGTGCATATATGAAATAAAAATGGTAATAGCAAGCTCAAAGACTGGTTTTCACTGATTTTCCTTCATTCGAGAGGCCTTGTTTATGGTTTCTGTTTTGGGGCTCTTGTCACGTGTCTATTTCGGGGGCTCAGGTGGATTCCGGTATGGGACCCTCGTTAAATGTCTGTACAATGGCTCACAGGTGAATTCTGGTTTAACGTTCAGCCCATACGATAATCGCCCATGGAAACAAATCCATGGACTGTAGTATAGGATAAGTCAAAATCAGTCCTTACGTCGGTCAGTCAATATGACGTACGACGAGATATGAAAATATACTTTTTTATATATAATCTATATCACTTTTCTCAAATGGAAATATATTTTTTATTAATAATCAATTTCACTTTTTTCACGTTATCACGTGATAAAGTTATTAAGTCCGTGAGATAAAATCTGTATCGCCTAGTACTTCTCTATACAAAACAAAGGAATGCAACACAATATAAGAAATCGTATTCAGCGAAAGTAAGTAATTGCTTCGGATGTGCTGTTGCCTGGTAGATCGCAGTGCACCCTGATCAGTGGTCTACGTGCGAAAGGACGGTAAATTTGAAGTACCATATAAAAACAACAGTCTAAATTTCTTCGGTCAGTAATCTTCTTGGAACAATGAAGAATTCGCATGCGCTAGTCTTCTGTCTCTTTGTTGTAGCCGGTAAAGGAATTTATGCACTAGAAATCATCAGTTACGTAAAATCCAAAAAAAAAAAGATTTAATCATTATGATTTTTTATAATTACAGTTCGCGGCTTTCCAAGCATTCCCGAGAAAAATGTCGCAGAAGCAAGACTAGCCGTTGAAGACGACGATAGGAACCTGGTAGATCTGGACCTGAATTTTAGAGATATTGAAAGTATTCGTGAGACTCAAAAGGATCTCGCTAATAAAGTCAAATTTTACCTACACACATTAAAAAATCCTAAAAACACTCAACAATTATGGCTGAATGACCCCAAGACTCTTTCTCAGAGTAACTTTAATCCGTCGAAGCCTACCAGAATTGTGACCCACGGATGGATGAATTCAGCCAAGAGCGATGCCTGCCGTCTGGTTCGTGAAGGTAAGACACCATAAATATATTAATAACAAAAGAAATTGTTACATCATCCATCGACCGTCCAATTTCTAGCCTATCTTAAACATGGCGAATACAACGTAATCATCGTGGACTGGAGTAGGATCTCGAAATTGCCGTACGTCTACGCCAGCAATAGGGTTAAGATAGTTGGGCAATACGTAGGAAAGATGATCGACTTCCTGGCATCACGCGGAATGAATACAATCAACACTCTTGTAGTAGGACATTCATTAGGAGCACATGTTGCTGGTATAGCAGCACGTAACGCTAAAAGCACAGTGGGCTACGTAGTAGGTAAGTTGAAAAAAAACACCCAAAAATAAGTTTCCCTATAAAAATTATAAATAATTACATAAATTAATCATACGTATCCAATAATTTCAGCATTGGATCCTGCGCTGCCCCTTTTCTCCTCTGCTAAACCTGGCGATCGTGTCGCAAAGGGCGATGCTAAATTCGTTCAAGTAATTCATACCAATGCTGGTGCACTTGGTTACTCAGACCCCATTGGCGATGTTGATTTTTATCCAAATGGTGGACGCAAGCAAGCTGGATGTGTTGTTGAATGGATTGCCACCTCCCACTCCAGGTCTTACAGGTTCTTCGCGGAGTCTATCAACAGCAAAACAGGATTCGTTGCAACCCAATGTGAAAGCTACTCAAAATTCACTTCTGGTGGTTGCCGAGGTAACAAGAAAGAGATGATGGGTGGGCCGAAGCCGACCACGACAGCAACAAGAAGCTTCTATCTTGATACGAACGGATCCGCTCCTTATGCCAAGGGAGGCTAAACTGCCTAATTATGATGAACCGATATTCTGATAAAACAAATGACTACACGTAAACGACTGATCCAATGATTTTCGATACCAATTGTTATTTGTTATCATAAATATAATACGTTATCGATTATTTTTCTTTATTATTTCCCTATGCTTATACGAAATGTATACTATATGGTAACAGTAAGCGCAAATACTGGTTTTTATTAATTTATATTAATTAATTTTTATTCGGGGCGAATTCTTCAGGATTTCCCATCTAGGACTCTAGTCACATGTCTATTTTGGAGTGTCAAACTTCCGATGAATTCTGGTTTAAAATTCACAAATAGTATATAATTTTGTTTTTCTCAATATTAAGTACGGATACTATACGTGTTATCAGATAAGCGTATATTTTATCAATAAAACAACAGGCAATACCTGACCGTGAAAAATGAAAGCTGAGAGATAAAGAAATACAAGAAAAATTTTTAAACGCGTAAAGTTTCTGGTATCTATCAGTATCTATCAATACGGAACAGCATCATATATCAACCGATAGCTTCTGTGGAGTGTTGAGCTGCCTGAATAATAATTGACCATATTTAACACAGCGCTGATACACGTCTCTCTCGGACAATGCAATTCCAGTCAGTGCATTCCGCAGAATATATTTTTTGTCCCAGAGAATTGATGCTGAATGAGATTTCACACATTGGTGACCTGCACGTTGTCACGTGAGGAATCTTTTGAAATCATATCAAAATTACAAATGGACCATATAAAAATGAGTTGCAAAAAATCAACATATTGAATATGTAACAAGCTATTATTTAATACAATATGCATAATAGACTCATATACATTACACCATATGGGATCTGTTACTAAGAGGTTTTATCTGCTTTTTTTTTCTTAACTTTTTTCCCTTGCAAAAGGGTCCACTTCTAACGGACTAATCTAGTCACTCTTTATCCTTCAAGGTGTCTTCAATCTGGGGATCTCGTTTTTCTCCCTTGAGGAGTTCCCTTGGTCACTTCCTAACCGGTTGTCCGTTCCCTGATCGTGGGAAAGGACCAAAGGATGCTGAGATGACTAGACAGACGAATAGTTGAATATCTACATGGACCAATATCGTTACAAAGATAATTAATAAATTTTCCAAATTTTTTAATCATTAATTATAATTCAATCGATCATGGAGTAAAAGTTAAATGAAACCAGATGAAATTACAGAATCGACCAGGAAATAAATCTCGGAAGGGTCTCCAGTTCGTAGAAGCTATAATTGCTGGAAAATAACATAAATACGTAACGGGAAGCTATGACGGTCAGCACTTATATATAATTGGATCTTACACCGGTCATCTTAATTGACCATATGACTATTATCGTATCGCGTTACCATATTTGTTCGGTGCCTTATGGTGTCCCGTTCTACAATCAATAGAACTTGAAACCCTGACAAGGTAGCTTGAAGACAGACAAAAAAATTATCTGATAAAAACAAAATAAATTAATTGTGTACTTAAGTGAAAGGAGTATTTTCTGACGTCTTTAGAGGCCATTAATTAACGTCAGAAGATACTCTCTTTATTTAACTACACAATAATTATTGAAGGTCAACGTTTCCGAACATAATTTAAAGTAAATTAATACCCAGAAATTAATAACCATTAATACTCAGAAAATATATTATTGTTAATTAAAGCAAATTTATGAATCACCAATTGTCAATAAACTGCGTCTTGAGGAATTAAACAAAACGTCACTTTGACAGATCCACACCATGAGGTGGTTTCTGGATAACGGGGGGTATCAAAGGGGGCGCATTACAGACTAGGTGCATACACGCTATAACCACCCCCTCCCACCCCACAGCCACGCTAGACGGGCGTGTCGTTAATAAACTCTGAAGAAGGGCCATTAATCATTGGCTATCTCCGACGGGACGGCGTGTAAATGCTGTGGAGATACTTACTTAAGCACATACGCAATACGTATGTGAAAATCATATATATAGGTACAGGTAATGGTATAGGTTGGCTACTCGTATTCGGCAGCATATGTAAACTCATATTGGTGTGATCCCATATGTGAACCGTGGAGACGCCTGGGAGCTCGGGAGAACTAGAGAAAGACCGTGGCGTCGATACCACATATGTGGATCTGTATATAGTATAAGGATACGTACTTAGACCCATCGGGACATGTGCCCATATGTAAACCTATGGACATACTATATTAGCCCACCTTGGCGCGGATGTCGTAACAACAAATATTGACCGTTCATTAATCAAGAGAAACTCGGAGCTTCGATCTTGCGCAATTAGTCGTATTCTAGCCAATCGCCTTCTGATTTTCACATGAATATTCCTCTGACTTACCCCTGGATAAATCCTGCCCACCTGCAACGATCTTGCTTCTCCGAGTTATCCCGACTGAAAAGATAATAGCGGTGCATGCCATGGGTCGTACTTCGGGAAGCACTTATGACAGAGTTCACAGGTGAATCGCGACACAATGATGAATCACAAAAAATTTGTTAAGAAATTTTCTAATTTCTTAGGGGTTGTTTCCAAATAACTCTCGAGGATGACGATTGCGTCTGGATGCATTGAGATTGCTCTGGGTCGCATCCGTTTCAGTTATGCGTAAGTGCAGCTGCGCGAACACGAGTCGGCGGCCCGTTTTATTTCGACGTATTTTTTTTACCCAGAATTCCCAGCTGATTCTGGCACACAAAAAGCACGTCGCGGGCCGCGTGAAAAGGACACGAGTCCTAGGAGTGGACGTACGACTGGCTGGTGATGCAACATAAATTAAACTGCATAGGTTGCGTGCACCCCAATCAACCCGTGTCCCATGGTCATCGTGCAGTATTATTGGGCATGTGTATTTGTTTATGTCGGTGTGTCGGCGTCCTGGCACGGGGTTGGATCTATGTGCAAAAATTGGCATGGCATGGGGTTACATGCAGCTGTCTGATAGCGTTGGGGTTGCAGCGCCAAAAATGCCACCCTTTCCCGATCGGACTAACCCACCCTACACACTCCTACCAGCAGAATGGCTACCATCGCGCAAAATCCTCTTTCGTACCCCCTTACCATCCTCTATCGTGCAGCTGATCGGTAGCATTCCGATGAATCGGACGATCCTTTCGCTTCGCTGTGATTATGCACATACCCATCATCCCTTAGATTAATTTTTTAACCTGTTCGAGTTTTATGCCTTTTCCATGGTATGCCTGTCTGACCGTTCAGCGGATAATGGGGGATGAACGGATACGGAAGGAAGTGCCTATGCGTATAGGCGAGCTTCAAACAAGCCAAACAGGCAATCGGATGCTTCTTCGTTTCGCTTGCTGTTTCTAATTATTATTAGTCGATTGTACTTTAGTCGTAATAAGTATATTGCTATTTAAATACTTTTGCTCACTTTTCAGTCTCAGCAAGATTGAATATCCGTACAATAGGTATCGAAATTACTGCTAGGATTAAGTGACGCAAAAGTTCTTATCTTTGTAGAATGAACGATTGGGTGCCGTTACTTTGCTTGATCGAATGTTTCTAAAAAAGGTCTCCCATTAGCTATTCGGCATACCCAGCTTTGGCCAGCATTTTTCGGAAGGTTTAATATTCGATGCACTTTATATGGAATTATCCTGAATTGAGAAAAGACATGTTAGACGCATCATAGCTGAGACAACGCGACGCTGACGTGAGTGTGCGATATGAACTTTTTATGTCTATTGTCACAACTGCCAGAAGGGACTTTGACGTTTATTCTGACAGCGAAGACTTATTGGAGTTTGTTAAAGGAAGAACTTTGGACAAGAAGGTGAGAATTAAGGCTATTGAAAAAAAGATCCTTCAGTTTAGAAATCATACATGATATTTACTACTGGTAATTCTACTTTGAGGTTGAAGATCAGAAAAGAAGAAAATAAGACAAAACAATTTCGCTATAATTTATAAAAGGAATATGAATTATATGGATGTGGCTCAGGCTGCAAAGAATGCCGTCACTCGGCTGGTATGGAAGACAAATTGGCAAATGAAATATTACTGAATGCATGTTTGGTACCGTACCAATTACCAGCCAAAGAAAGAATGAAAAAGTTGTAACATTTACTGAGTTCGTTTGATGATCATGCATCAAAGGCATTTGTAGAACAGGCATTTCAGAAACATCAATTTTCGTCAGTGTTTATTTGATAATTAATATAATTTTCTGTATAGAATTTTCTTCATCTTTACGTAGTGAATTTCATAGTGTGCGGAGAGCCGTCGTAGAATGGCTAGAAATTGTAAAGAAGTCGGATGCCCAGAGTGACTTGATGTCGAAATCGTACAAATATCACGATTCCTGCCAGATCCTATGAAAGTGCAGGAAATTTTGCAAAAATTCAGTGTCCATGTGAAAAAGGAATCACTTTTATTGCAAGGAATGGAAACGATCGTACAATTAATTGTATCCTGCAGAGAATGCGCAGATGCGATCTTTTTTGTACTTAGTTAGAATAACCTTTTATGACGAATCTGTAAAACAATGCAATCAAAATGCTTCTTGAAAGAGTCCTTTCTGGTAGCGAAATTGAACTGCGCGTCTGGTTTTTTTTAATTAAAAACTCAAGTGCCCCTCGCTATCTTAATTAAGGGTTGGAAATTTTCAGACCGATTGATTGAACAAACGAGAACGACGCTATCGGAACTTCAGTCGGCCAATATCGTCCAGAACACTTTACACGGCTATTTCTACGACCCTGCCGTCTCACCCCTGTAGTAACGTACCCTATTGGGAAACGCGACTGTTCCGCGAGGTCTACGCAATGTGAATCCACAGTAATCAGATACGTTATCATCCCCTCCGACTTACCACTTTCCCATAGCCCTGTCACCTTTCATCTCTTAGGAAATAATATTTGCCACACAACCCGTTCGGTACAACACATTTTTTACAAGCTGCCAACTACCCTTGAAAACGGACACATTCTTTGGAGAAAAAATTAAAATATGAAAAAATATATTTTCTAATACGTATCAGTTTCTTTAAAATTAAATTTTTTTATGTTACGATCTGATAAGTAATGTGTTGATAAATCGGTAAGAGCGCCTGATTTACGCAACCCGTTCTGCAGTTGGGAAT